ATATTTAAAAGAGGCTTTACAGAGGAGTTGGGAAACCAGAGAGGGTGGAGGGTGTGAAAATGGTGTGCTCAGAGTCACAGAAGTGTGAGAGCCCCATTTGTTCAGGATTTCAGGACTGGGGGAAATAGGGTGGGAAGGTAAAGCAGAGCTGGAATAGAGTGTCAGCCACTGCCTGCCTCATCCCAGCCAAGAAATAGATAATTGAAGATGGGAAGTCGGCAAGCCCACCTCGGCTCAGCCCACAGGGCAGTGAAAACCAAGCTTTTCTGTGTCCTAGGTGCCTCATCCCCTTATCCTGCTGGGGTCTGGAGTTCATGGCGCAGGGTTTGACAATAACTTGGCAAGCCGGGGAGCTGCTGGGTAAGTCCTGGGCCAAAGCCTTGTGATTTTAAGAGGAACGTCTTTACCACCTGGATTCTCACCACCCCTGTCCCAACCGTCAGACACATTCTTGAGTTTTTCCTAGTGATCATGAAGGAAACAGCTATTTTGTTTCCCCTTCACATACACCTGCTAGTCAGCAACGATCCCCAAGTATCAACCTCTTTCGCCCAACTTATTACACAGTCAAGACTTCTGCACAGGGCCCGCCTGGATAAGGTGCAGTCTCTGCTTGTGGGGCAGAAGGAAACTGTTCAGTCTATTTTTAAAATTTCATTTGCATTTTGGCTGCCCCGGGTCTTGTGGCGAGCCGGCGCCTCTCTCTAGTTGCGATGTGCAGGCTTCTCGCTGCAGTGGCCTCTCTCGTTGTGGAGCAGGCTCTAGGGCGTGGGCCCAGTAGTTGTGGTACACGACCTCAGTGGCTCCTCGGCATGTGGGATCGAACCCTTGTTCCCTCCTCTGGCAGGCAGATTCCTAACTGCTGCACCACCAGAGAAGTTCCTATTTAGTCTAGTTAAAACTTGAACTGTGGCTTTCTGGCCCAGACCTCCTTGGTCTGTTAGTCGCTTAGTCGTGTCCAATTCTTTGCGACCCCTTGGACTGTAACCCACCAGGTTCCTCTGTCCAATTCCCTTCGCCAGGGGATCTTCCTGACCCAGGGATCGAACCCAGGTCTCCTGCATTGCAGGCAGGTTCTTTACCGTTGCAGCCACCAGGGAAGAAACCCTCCTTGGCCTAAACGCCTTTGTAATTCATGAGCACCTTTCTCCCTAGTAAGTCTGCTTATTGTAGAGGATGTTTCTTCAGTTAATAGAATACCGGTGGATGCTTCTGTGGAGACTATGTTGCAGATGTGGTTGAACAAGAGGAACACAGGACTAAAAAATGCTCTCACTGTGGTAAATAGCTTCATAGGACACAGACCTGGGGGATTCTGAAAACTGCAACATTCTAGGTTCAGATTTTACCTCTTCTGTATGAAATAGGTCTGGTCATTAGTTCTTCACGAAGTTGTTGTAATGTTAGAAGCCATATATATAAAAGTACCTGATATTCAGTAGAGAGTAGACTCTGTAAATAACGTCTACATTTTATATCAGTTCCTCCTCCCGAGCAGGGGTTTGCTATGTTGCGTTGATTCTGTGAGATGGTTTTAAATTAAGAAGGTGGTACAGTTGGATGACAACCACCCCAGGCCATGTTCTCTGCAAGCAGTGACCCCACGAAGCCAGCTGGGCAGGGGCAGGGGCCAGGCCTTGTGCAGACTCAAGCTCCCACAGTTGCTGATGGGGAAGAAAAAAAATCTTTTTATTTTTGCTTTGCTGAGAAGGTGGTGCTGAATGCTTTCTTCCACTGGGAAATCAGTTTCAGCACGCAGTGGATCTCAGTAAGTGGGGTCACACTGCTGCTTTTCTAGAAGAGGGACACGTTTCTGTTTTTATTAATCATGGAACTGACATGAGCCTGGCGGGATTTGTAAAAGGAAACAGGTTCATGCTCCTCCTTGCTGTATCCACTGCCTTCTAGAAATTAAGAGAGAGGAAGGGAGTTTTTTTTGTCTTCCAGTCAGGAGACCATAACCTCTTCTGATTTAAAACAAGCAACCTCATGTCGTTGGAGACCTGCCATTTGTGAGTTTCTGGAATAAAAGAAATTCTCAGATTTTTGTCAGCTGTCATTTTTGAAGGAAAGTAGCAAAGCCACGATGCCAAGAGATGCCTAAAATAGCTGTGCATGTAATTATAGGACTAGATGCTTCCTCGTCACAAGCTTGGAATTATGTTCTTTTTGGAGTTGAATCTAATATTAAGGACCATTGATGTAGATGGACAAGGAGAGGTTTTTTTCTGCACTGAGGTTTTCTAATATATATTCAGTTCAGTCGCTCAGTCGTGTCCGACTCTTTGCGACCCCCATGGACTGCAGCACGCCAGGGCTCCCTGTCCATCACCAACTCCCGGAGTTTACTCAAACTCACACCCATCGAGTCAGTGATGNGTAATGCCAGTTAAAACCCCTGTGCCTGGGGCTGTCGGCGGGCTTTTCTGACTCATTGTCCAGCCCTTCTTGGTCCATGATGCAGCATTCCCGCTTCTCCTGGCCAAACTCTCTCTCTCTCTAGACCTTGCCAAGGTGGGGATCTTTACCATCAAGCCTCTCATACCCTGCTCGCCTCCACTCCCCCTGTTCTCTTCCGTACTCTTAAGCTCCCTTGGTCTACTTTGTACAATATGATACAGCAAACAAGTCCCATGTCAGCTTAATGATAGAATTTGTTTGCTGTCCTTTCACAACCAGCTATACCTGTCCTTTGGGCAGGAGCAACCTGTTATGTCTGTGTGTGTCTCATAATACCAAGACTTCCCTGGAGGCCTGAATAAATCCTTGGCCACAGATGGATTATTCCTTAGTCTGTAGTGAGTGCTTGATGGGTATTTGCTGACTTGATTGTCAAGATGGTCTTGTTTCTGCACAAGAGAAAGTATTTTCTTTGCTTCACTTGTTTCTGAAATGGGTGCATGCCCACATGCTTTCTGGTTTGTTTCAGACTGAGAAGCAAGATAGGAGGGCTTTCAAAATAAGCCCAGAGGTGCAAAGGAAAACATGAATGCTGGTGCCAGAGATGCATGTTTGCATCTAGGTTCTTCCTATTCTTTCAGCCCCAGTTTTTCTCACCCAAAAAGTGGGGCTGTCTAAGCTGATCAGATAATTTACCATCTAACCTGGAGCACCTTTGAGAGTGAAGGAGGACATTTAAAAATACTGATAGTCACATAGTCCTTGCTGTTCAGTCGCTCAGTCATGTGTCCAATTCTTTGCGACCCCATGGGCTGCAGCACGCCAGGCTTCTCTGTCCTTCACCATCTCCTGGAGCTTGCTCAAACTCATGTCCATTGAGTCAGTGATGCCATACGACCATCTCATCCTCTTTCTTTGCCAGCATCAGGGTCTTTTCTAATGTCGGCTCTTTGTATCAGGTGGTCAAAGGATTTGAGCTTCCCCTTCAACATCTGTCCTTCCAATGAGTGTTCAGGACTTATTTCCTTTAGGATGGATTGGTTGGATCTCCTTGCAGTCCAAGGGACTCTCAACAGTCTTCTCCAGCACCACTGTTCGAAGGCATCATAGTCCTTAGAAGTATTTATTGACTGGGGAATGGTTTTTATATTGTATCTTTTGGCTTGCCTATGAAAGTGTTCTATTTAAGAATTATTTTCAAAATAGCATTTCCAATAAAATATTAAAATAATAAATAGGACAGCCTTTCAATGGGTTGGCATGCTAGAACAGCATGTGGTATTTCAAAGAATCAGGTCAAGTGATACATGTAAGTGGCCAGTGCCATACTTGGGACACATAGTGTGTTTAGGAAATGATCATTTCCTCTTCCTTTATGGAATAAGGTTGGACAAAGAAGCACTGACAGCAATAAACAGAGACCCATAGGCTTTTTAAAGAGACCACTGCAAGGAGGGTGTTTTTCTAGCTCTCCAGATCGTGACAACACAATGTGAGTTTTGTCCAGCTCTAGCAGAAAAATACTGATTGAAGAACATGGTTCTGCTTGTATGTGGTCAGACAGTGGTCTCAGCAGTAGAGAACTTACCCACGGGGGGCTCTGCCTCTCGGGTGATAATTTGGCTGCCCTGTGAGCACAGAGCTCTTCTCCTCACTTGTGAATTTGTCACTACTTCTGGGCAACTTGCCTGGAAAGCTGGAGGATCCAGCCTTGGCACCCCTCTTCTGCAGAAGCCATCCTGCCGTTTAAGGGCCTGAACTCAGCAATTGTGCTTAAATACTGGGTTTACACGAAATTTGATAGTCCGAGCTGTAAAATACATACCTACCGTGAAGGTTGGTATCCCCACTGTAAGTGACGTATTAGTTGCCCAGTTGTGTCTGACTCTCTGCGACCCCATGGACTGTAGCCTGCCAGGCACCTCTGTCCATGGAATTCTCCAGGCAAGAATACTGGAGTGGGTTGCCCTTCCCTTTTTCAGGGGGATCTTCCTGACCCTGGGATCGAACCCAGGTCTCGCACATTGAGGGTGAATTCTTTACTGCCTGAGCCACCGGGGAAGCCTATTCCCATTGTCACCAGAAGCTTAATTGCCATTCTGTGATTAGGCTTCTAGGGTGAGGCGCGTCCCTTTCAGAAATTAAATTCAGGGCTCCTCATCCTGCCTCCTCTAGGTGCTATTTTGCTCTAGTAATGAGTGCTCTTTAGCCTGTGTGTTCATTTAACCTAAGACCTGTCAGTGTGTGCTGTCACTCCAGTGGTGTCCGATGGACTGTAGCCCACCAGGCTCCTCTGTCCATGGGGATTCTCCAGGGAAGAATGCTGGAGTGGGTTGCCATGCCCTCCTCCAGGGGATCTTCCCTGCCCAGGAATCGAACCTGCGTCTCTTACGTCTCCCTGCATTGGCAGGTGGGTTCTTTACCACTGGCGCCACCTCCTGGTGTGACGGAGCATTCAGGGAGTGCTCTGTGGCCTCCTGGACGTGGGGAAGGGTCTGCGGATGGTGAATAGAGACGTGCGGCAGGAGAATGAGGCCCGGGAGCCGGTGGTGTGGGGGCCGGCTCTCCGCAGCGCTCCTCACGGCCTCCTCTTTCTCCAGGTACGTGTACATCCCCGCGGGCGGGTCCCAGCGTGGCCTGCTGGGGGCCCTCTTCTCCACCGCGATGACGTTCGCGTTTGTGAGCTTCTGGCACGGCGGCAACGACTACCTATGGTGCTGGGCCACCCTCAACTGGCTGGGGGTCACCGTGGAGAACGGCGTCCGGAAGCTGGTGCAGAGGCCACACGTCCAGCACAGCTTGGTGAGCGGGTCCCGGCTTGTGCGGCAGGGAACCAAGCCGGGCGGACTGGGTTTGGGAGCGGGGGCTGTCATCACATTTATCCTGGGCCATTTCTGTCTGATTGGCTCAACATCCAGTGTGTTCCCGGAGGTAGGACAGCTGAACAAGAGGTGGTGGCTCAGATGATAAAGTGTCTGCCTGCAATGCGGGAGACCTGGGTTCGATCCCTGGGTCGGGAAGATCCCCTGGAGAAGGAAATGACCCCCCACTCCAGTATTCTTGCCTGGAGAATTCCATGGATGGTTGTCCCAGAGCCCCGGTTTGAGCTCCCTGAGTCATCCAGCAAATCCGTGCTGGCTGTCCATCTTGCGGATGTTAGTGTATGTTTCCATGCTATTCCGTCTCCATCTGTCCCATCCTCTCCTTCCTACCCCCTCCCCCACCATGTCCGTAAGTCTGTTCTCTGTGCTGCATCTCCATTCCTGCCCTGCAAATAGGCTCATCAGTAGCAAGGTGGATTCCGGACCACCAGGGAAGTCCCCCTGTCTTCTAAATTTTTTCTCTCATCTCTCGCACACATGTACATCACACACACATACATATATAACATTTAAAACATATCATTATGCTAGAGATAGAGTTGTATCAGGACCCCTTTCTATGTCATCAAATACATTTCTAACAACCCTTTTTAATGGCGTTACAGAATTCCATTATGTGGATATACCACAATTCCTTTAATCAGTCTATTATTAACATATTATTCCATTTTTTTTTTTTGCAGTTAGCAGTTGCATTGAGATGACTATCATAACAAGGGTGAATTCTTGAATGTTTAATATTTCCAAGTTAAAGATTTTTCTTAACTTTTGAAGTTTGCATTCCTACTGCTTACCTGTTTGTTAACTGCCCAGTAGACAAAGTTTGCCCACGTGCATTCCTACCAACAGTGCCTGAGAATGCCCTCGCCAATCCTGAGTAGTGCTGTTATTTTTAATCTGTGCTGTTTTGATAGGTTTTAGCAGCATAAAAAGCAGCTAAGGATTTAAGACACATTCACACCCTTTAGGAAAATAACTTGGGAAATTAAGCATTTTTCTTTACACACATATTTAGGTGATTTAAAAGTATGAGCAAATGTTTTGCCATGTAAATGTGGCAAAGGATGTATTAGAATCTTACAGGAATCATCAATTCTGAATATGCAGTTATATTCCGATAACTCTGAAAAAAGTAGCTAAAAAGAAATATGCTATTATCAGTGTTGATGGCAGGCAGTAAAACACAAAAAATTTACTCGGAAATGATTAATGTAAGTAAACTACCCCAGTATTTGCAGCTAAGGCAAATATATTTCAAAAAGTCAACATCACCAAAATAGAATACATTTGAGTGTTTTTCTATAAAGATAGCTTTGTGTGTGTATGTGCATGCTCACTCATGCCTGACTCTGCGACCCCATGGATTGTGGCCAACCAGGCTCCTCTGTCCAAGGGATTTAGATTTCAATAAAAACTGAATCAAACACATAGCAAAAATATCACTTATTCTAAAGGAATTTAAGTATGTTCATGCATGTTTAAAGATAAATATTTTATTCAGTTCTAGTACCCAGCAACCAGCGGGAAAGAAATGTCAGTGAATTCCGATAGAAAGTGGAATTTCAATGAGAGTCATGGCTTTGTAACACAAAGAAAAACCATAAAAAGTGGTATAATAAAGGTTAGACACTTCACCCTTCAAATCTTAGTAGTCTTCCCCAAAGCGGGAACCGCATCAGCCATGAAGACCAGAAAATTCTTTTCAGCCTAGATTGAAGCCCTGTAACACATTTCCATGTACCCTCATAAAGGATCTGACATTAACCTTGAACTTAACAGTTCTGTGGACTTTGAGCCATGGATTATATTACGAATCTAAAGAATCTGAAAATTAAAAGAGTAACCCAAACTATGCAATGTAACCTATGACTTATTAGAAAAAAAAAATGTTAGTTGCTCAGTCGTGTCCAACTCTCTGCGGCCCCATGGGCTGTAGTCTGCCAGGCTCCTCTCACTGTCCATGGGATTCTCCAGTCAAGAATACTGGAGTGGGTAGCCATCCCCTTTTCCAGGGGTCTTCCAGACCCAGGGATCGAGCCCAGGACTCGTTCATTGCAGGCAGATTCCTTACCATCTGAGCCACCAGGGAAGCCTTACAGCGTATTAGTTTTGGCTAAACATGGAGGAAGGCAGTAAAGAGACTTGCTCACAGGGTGAAGCACTTGAATGTCTGCTGTGCCACATCACAGCTCCTTCCAGGACCTTCACGTGTCTACCTCATTTGAGCTTCTGCCCACAGTTAAAGTACCAAGGTGTATAGAAATTTTTGAACATGCAATTTTTTTTGGTGAGATATTATGTCTTGTATATTGCAGATGTGGTGTTTAGTTTACATATTTATCGAGCAAAGGACACATTTTATAAAACCTGTTTTTAGCACCTGTCTTGCCTCTTGACAGCCTGGTGATATTAGACTCAGGAGTTCCTTAAGTTCAAGGTCAAGGCGCCGTTATTATTTGTATTCTGTATGGTTAGCTGTGTGTCTGAGTTCATTGCAGTATGTCAGTGCACACTTAGGCTTCCAAACCGGGGTTGTTCTTTAGTTCTTTCTCCACCTGTCCACTCGAGGAACTTTCCTCCATTGCTCTGTTTCTTAGACAGTTGAGTACAGATGCTGTTTTCCTCCCGAAAAACACGGCTGGCATTCCAGATGTACATAGCCTTCTGAATAAACTGTTTCCCTACTTGGGTTGCCTCCTTCTCGCTCTTTCCATGAATCCATTTCCCTTTCTTCTCTTTATTGAGATTTAATTTCTGTACAACATTATATAAGTTACAGGTACTCTAAGTACAACATAGCGATTTACAACTTTTAATGGTTATTCTCCACTTAACAGTTGTTATAAAATAGTGGCTATACATTTACCATTTGGGGGACCACAGTCCAAATAAAGACTTAATGCCTCCTTGGCGCTTAATTTCATCTGATTTTAATCTTCCCGATGATCTGACAGTATTTTTGCAATGGGAGCTCACTCCCCATGGCCCTTATACACTCTCCCCATGGCATTCATCCTTCATCTGTTTTTTTTTAAGTGATGGAATGAAAAGTATGTGAATAACAAGGATTATCATCCCTTCTTTTTTTGTGTCTTCTTCTTTAACCTCAAAGCTTTGCCTGGGGCACAAGAGATAGTAAGACATATATATATATATATATATATTTTTTTTTTTTTTTTGCCATGCTGAGCGGCTTGTGGGATCTTAATTCCCAACCAGGGCCCCAACAGGCCCTTGGCAGTGAGAGCACAGAGTCCTACTACTGGACCGCCAGGGAATTCCCTGGAGTGGGATTTTATTTCTTGGTGACAGTTGAACACTGAGTCAGAGCTGAGTGTTGAAAATCAGAAGCCCTTTGACGTTCCAGGCAGGATGCCCGCCCCCCCCCGCCACTTGAACTTTATGCAGGAATGGAAATGTCCATTGTGTTGTCCGATCTGGGTAGTCATGAGCCACACTGAGTACTTGAAGTGTGGCTATCATCACTGAGAAACTAATTTTTAAATTTATTTAATTAATTTGAATCTAAGTAGCCCCCACGTGGCTAGTGGTTTCCATTTGGGGATGTATAGTTCTAGAATGTATCCCTTTTCTAGGAAAAAAAGAAGATTATAGTGTCTGACTCTGCTGTAATTTAGGAAGGTTTTATTGCTGATGGGATGCCTCATGTATCCAGCTGGCTACTGAACCTCTCTCCCCTTGAACATCTCACAGGTATCTCAGACTTAGCATGTGTAGTGCTGACTTGGTGAACCACCCGTTCCCCGATAATTCCAGCTAGCTCCTCTCCCTCCAGCATTCTCTACTTGTGCAGAAGCCACCGTCATCTTGCTTCTCACTCGTGGCCAAGCCCCTCAAGTTGTCCTTTGTCCTTTCCTCTCTCAAAGTCCTACCTGTATGTGCTGCACGTTCTACCTCCTAGGTAGGTCTTCATTTCTAAAAACTGTTTCCATCTCCAATGAGTCATCCTAACCCCACTGTTACCATTCCTTGCCCCATCTACCAAATAGCTGTGAGCTGGTCTCCCTGCTTCCACTTTTGGCTTCTTCAGTTCGTTATCCTCAACAGTGCTGAGTGATGCTTCTCAATAAAAAAAAAAAGCTAACCAATTAGCCTCCAGTTAAAATAAATAAATAAATGCCTAACCATGTTGTTGTCCTTAAAAATCTCTAGAGGCATCCCATTTTCTTGTGACTCAGTCCCCAGTATCGAAGATGACCTGTAAGACCTTGATCCTAGTCTTGCTACCTCTCTGCATCCTCTCTGGCTCACTCCTGTTACACTCTGTTCCTCCTCTGTTCATTTTCACACCTGGTCCCTCCAGCCCCAGCTCCCTGGCACAGGCTCTTCCATCTCCAGGATGCTCTTGTTTCTCTCCCTCCTTTTCATCCTTCTGACTTCAGCTTGAATGACAGCTGGCTTGGGTACCGTTTACTGATCCTCCTGAGTCAATCTGGTCCCAACTGGTAACCCCTTTGAGGCAGCTTGTATGTGGTCTCTTCAGCTGTACTTATCACAGTTACAATGAAGTGTTCTTTATACAATAGCTTGTTTAATCCTTATCTGTCTCTCTGAATGGTAAGCCTCATGATAGCAGAAATCTGTATCTGTTGCCAAAAAATCTTGGCTCTCTGTGCACCAATGTCAAATAGAAGTACAGAGACAGAGTTATGGAGGAGAAGGAAAGAGTGGCTTTATTACTTTGCCAGGCAAAGGGGGAACACAGTAGGCTAGCACTTCAAGAACTGTGTGTCCCCCTCCTTGGTGAGTTGGGAGAGGTTTTATTGTCAGACAAGGGTATGTGATAAGGATCAAGGCAATAATAGTGTTCACCCCTTCTTCTGCAAAGTTTCAAAAGGATGGCATTGCTGACTAGATTGAAGTGTCATGGAAAGTAGATGGGGGAAAAGTGGAAACAGT